GACATTTGAGTTTCTTGAATGCCACTTGGCATTCCATTGTCCAGATAAGGGGTTGCCTTGGTTTGGGTTTCTCCCCCCCTTTCGTTTTTAGCAAGTTCGTGATAAGGAGGGCGATGTTTGCAAAAGCTGGAATGAATTGGCGATAAAAGTTTGCAAACCCCAGGAAACTTTGCAGTTGTTTGTGGGTGTGCGGTGGGTCCCAGTCCAGTACAGCTTTTACTTTCTGTGGGTCCATCTCTATTCCCTCATGGGATATTCTATATCCCAAATAGTCAATTTTTTCTTGGTGAAATTCGCATTTAGAGACTTTTGCATATAGTTTAGCATCTAAGAGTTTTGTGAGGACTGCACGGAGTAGCTTGATGTGTTCTTCCATCGTTTCCGTGTAGATTAAAATATCATCAAGATACACTAGAACCCCTTTATATAAAAATTCATGAAGGGTTTCATTGATCAATTGCATAAACACGGCAGGCACTCCTTGCAGTCCAAAGGGGAGCACTTTAAATTGGCAGCATCCCAATGGTGTGTTAAAAGCTGTCTTCCACTCATCCCCTTCCTTTATTCTGATGCGGTAATATGCCTCTCGTAGGTCTAACTTTGAAATTTTTTTTTTCCTTTCGAGAGGTGGGCTAACATGTCCTTCATGAGGGGGAGTGGATACATATTCTCTATGCAAATTGTGTTCAATTTTTTTGTAATTAACGCACAAGAGTGCTGAGCCATCTTTCTTCTCACGGAATAACACTGGGGCAGCTATTTTAGGACGGGCGGGTTCAATGAAACCCCTTTTTAAATTTTTCTCGATAAATGCTCTGAGTTCTTTCAGTTCTCTGGGGGACATGCAGTACATTTGTGGTTTTGGGAATTTAGCCCCTGGTAGGGTTTCGATGGCGCAGTCTGTGGCACGATGGGGTTGGAGTTCATCACAAGCTTCCTCACTAAATGCTTGAGCCAGATCCTGGTACTCATTTGGGATGTTAATGGTTTCAACTGACTGTCCAGTCATGGCTGACTCTCTGTTCTCTGTTCCTTTCTTTATCCTTTCCTCTGAGCTATTTGCAAATACTACATTTCTCTGGAATTGTACAGTTCCTGTCCTCCAATTTATTTTTGGATTCCATTTCTGCAGCCATGTGAGACCTAGGACTAGCGTCTCTTCCATTCCTGGGGCTACAATGAATGTATTTCCCTATGGTTCCTTAGTCTTTTTTAATGGTTCTGTGGTAAACCTGGCTGGCTCCCACCCCCACCCCCCGCTATAGTTCCATCTAATTGGTAGAAAGCGATGGGGTTTTCCATTTCTTTCAGTTGGATCCCCAATTTCTCTGCATGGGAGAGATTTATTAGGCATCGGGTGCATCCCGAATCCAGCAACTCTGCAACTTCCTCCCCCTTCCCTCATCTGGGGATAAACAGTCTCAGGGGTAGGGTGATTGGTTCAACTGGATTGCTTACCAGCGGGTCGTCTTCCAGATCGCTTTCGGACTGGCTCAGGTCCCCTCGGAGCATTGGGGGTTGTTCCTCTGGGTTGGTGGGGGATCGGAGTCTCACATCTATTCGGCCTCTCAGGCCAGTCTCCTTTTCTCGAGGGTTGGATGTTCCGGGTTTCCCCCCTGCTGGGTGGTCTAGCTTTCTGGCAGGGGTCTTCGAATGGCATTCTGCTGCGTGGTGTCCCTCCTTACCATACTTAAAGCAACCAGACGTTCTTGGAGTCATGGTGGATTGGGATTTGAAGACTTCCCGTTTCCCCAGGGTGGGGATCTTTTCCAAGACTTGCCACTGCGGTACCAGTTTCGAGTCATGTCTATCTCCGCCTCCTCTGCCATCATGTACCATTCGTGCAACAGGTTCGGAGCCCCACGGGACAGGCAGGCAGCGTATAGGTCATCATTTAGTCCATCTTTGAACCAACAGACTAGGATATCCTCTGGCCAGTCCACCCGGCCGGCCAGGTCATGAAATTCCTCAGTGTATTCTACTACCGGGCGACGGCCTTGTTTTACAACTCTAATGCGGTCGCGGGCTTTTCTATCGGCGAGGGGGTCCTCGAAGTGGTGGCATAAGGCTGTCATGAAGCGATCGAGGTTCCTTAATTCTAGGGCACTGACGTTGTGGAGCGTCACCATCCATCTGGCTGCTGTCCCTTCAAGGGGCAGGGTGTTGATTCGTATTTGGGACCCCTGGGTTGGGAAATCCCGCCCATATTCTTGCATGTAGGTGAGCACTTGCGCCAGGAAAAATCCCAGTTTCTGGGGGTCTCCATCAAGGGTGGGATCTTCCTCTGCAGTTGATGTCTCTTGGTTGGCCAGGGTTAATCCCCTGATCCGGGGCGTTTAGGGGTTGGGTACCTGGTATGGCTCCTGGTCCTTCGGTTTGTCCCTCTGCCCACTCAATTTCCGCTGGATTAGGGGTGGTGGCTCCGGTTCTCTCATTTTCTGGTTCCCTTGCTCTCCTGCGATGTCGCCCTGGTGCATCCCTCAGCTCGAGGTTCTCCAGGGCTTCCCTCACGAGGCATTTTATGTACCGTCTCATTCGGTCATCAGCCGGTGGCTCCTCGTCCCATTCTTCCTGATTCGATAGGGCCTCCAGCTCCAATTTCCACCCAGGTTTACGATTGCCCCGGGTGAAGGTTACTCCTCCGGTTCTTCCGTCGCAGCTGTCTCTTTTTCCTACATCTATAGACCACCGGAGCTTGGTGGAGGTTTCGTAGGCAGCCTCTCTGTCTTCGATGGGGTGCACCAAGTCAGTATCTGGGTGGGTACCTGTCGACGTTTCTCCCCAGCATTCGGCTTCCCCTTGGTCCTTGCTGTCCTCAGACATTTTCCTTTCTTGCAGGGTCCCCTCGTTAGAGTGAAATGTTTTTGTTTTTTTAAAGAAAAAAATTTCCTCTCCGGGCTGACCTCTATTGCAGACGCTGCTTTATGTCAGGCTACAGAACTTTTCCCATTCACTCAACTAGAATGAACTTCTGAAAACGTATCCAAACGTAGACAAAGGAATTCTTTATTGAGATGAGACAATTCCTGTAGGAGTTCAAAGCAGCGTCTGAGGTCTCTCAGCCATACAGGGATACATAAGGGAGTTTAGAACCCCTCCCCTTATCTCGATGTGTATTTAGTGAAACAAAAGCCAGTATGTTAATTCCTCCCCATCCCTCTTGTTCTGGCCATCTGGCTTTTCTCCCTCCATCGTATCATGTGTGGGTTATACAAATTCAATATAAGATTAAATATATTCAGGTTACATCAAGAAAGGATTTATCAGCCTCCCCCACCGCCTTTTCTTCTTCCACTGAAGAAATGACAGATACACGGATCTGACAAACATATAAGAAGGAATACTTTGAATTGGCTAAGTTTAATAAAAAATACTTTGTTTTGAGAACCACAAAACCTGATGTTAAAGAGCAATTAGAGCCCTTGTCCTGGCTTGAAACTTCCGAGGGGAAAGTAAGAATGGAATTGCTGCAGTGAATAATCCTTTTTTGATTGTTGTGGTTAATAAAGGGCATTAAATTGGAAAGATAAACACTTATTCCTTGAAGATTGGGAATACAGAGGGGAAAATCAATGTTGAGGTTGCGGCAGGCCTCTTGGATTACAAACTAAATTACTTTGGATTGGTTTTGAGCCTTTGAGATATTAAGACACTGAGTCACTGAAGATGGAAGGAAACTGAACTGAACTAAATTGAAGAACTGAAGCTGTCATATGATTTTTTTTCCCCTTGGACATTTGGGCTATCTGTATTAATAATGTGGGTTGTCGAAGGTGGTGGAATATTATAGGTAGCTAATTTCTGTGTGGTTTACCATTTCGGTGGATAGTAGGATTTGTGGAAATATTTACTGGTGGCTATAAATAGTGATAAAAAGAACTAATAAATTAACCCTAGCCGCTGAGACGGCAACTTAAAATATAACCAAAATAGAGAAGACAGCTTCCAACCCGTTTTCAGCATCTTCAAGTCCTTCCAATCAGAGGTCAACTGAAAGTATGTTACAGTTGGAAAAATCAAATACATCCCAAAAGGAGGTATAAATGCTGCTCCAAGGCGCTACAGGAATCCATAACTAAAAGTCACAATGAAATAAGGACAGAAATAGGGGAAATAAGAAATGATATGGGAGAGATGAAGGAAAAAATCCAAAACATAAGAACTTCCAATAAACAATAATAAAAAAATGAGCAAAGAATTCAGAAAGTGGAAGAAAAAACACAAGTGGGGGGAAAGTGGAGAATATAAACTATAAACTGCTACAAGCAAACAAGAAGTTAGAAAACACCGTGATAATGCTGGAAACAGACAAAGCTGCCAATATCTAAGATTTCAAAATATAGTAGAGGAGAAGGGAGAGGATCTACCAGAGACTATGAAAGAATTGTTGGCAAAGGCACTAGGAATATATAAGCAGGAAATGGAAATGGAAACAGCAGGTCAAAGAAACAATGATTGTATGGGCAAAAAACTTTGGTTATAATATAGAATTAGAGAAATGGAAAAAACTATAAATTGACAATAGCCTCGGCATATAAAGAAAACTTATATAAAATGTTCTATAGGTAGCATTTACCACCGGCAAGATTAGTGAAAATGTTTAGTAATTTGTCTGCCAAATGCTGAAAATGTAACCATACCCCAGGAATTTATTATCAAATGTGATGGATTTGTATTCAAACAAGAAAATATTGGGAGAAAATAAATAGCTAGCTAGAAGAGATAGTTAAACAGAATATAGACCTGAAACCAGAAGTAAAATGAGAACACCGGATAGATGTATCTAATGTAAAATCAGTTTATATGCTTATAGAACAACATCCATTAAAGTAATGGATCCCTCCATACTTCACCTCAGATTTGAAGGAGAATGTGTTAAAACAAATTAAGATCTATAGAGTAGATAGAAGAATCAAGAAGTCTGAGGAAAAATATGCTGATATCAAATAATTCAGTTCATATAAATTACAAATATGCCACTCACAAATGTAAGTACTTACATTTCCAGCTGTATTCATAACTGATTTGATTTCCCTCTTGCATGCTTTCAGAGATTTCATTTGAATATAAGCTCGAACCTTATACTGTAAAAAATGAATATAAAACTTCATTATACTATAAAAATATTTCAGTATTCAGAAACTATACTAGTGCCAATATAAAGAATTAGATCTAATTATTATAATTTGAACAAATGATATACTGGTCAAACTTTAAAACTATTCTAAAAGAATGATATGACTATAAAAGAACTGATTGCAAGAGCTGATGTCCAATGCAATACTAATAATTAAAATAGCATATTAGTATTTTAACTGATAGTCCTAACTTTAGCTCAGCGTCCTAACTTTATGAGTCACCACACTCCAAGACATTTATTATTTCCAAAATAATTGCAACTTTGCTGGGCAAACAACACAGGAATCACAACCAGATGAGCTAATTCTACTTAAATTTACTTAAATTTACTACTTAATTTTACTTAAAGCTATATTGACAGAATCTTGCAAATTTGAAATTACATTTCTCACCCTTTCCATGGCTTCCTTTAAAGCCTGAGAAACTAGGGAGGGCTTCTTATGAAACTCTTCTCCTACCCACTATCCAGCTGTGAACTATGCTGTTTTTTAAATCTAATCATTCCCTTGGTAGCATCTCTGTTCCATTTCCCAAGGCCCTCCCATATACTATTACAATACAGAGAGATCTACAAAAAGAAACTCATATATATCAACTGTGGGTAAGTTTGAAAATGGACAAAGTTTCTAAAAGAAATATTTAAGCAGAACCCAGATTTACCTGATGTATCTTTGATTTTGCAGCTTCTGTTAGAGTCCCACTTTCAGTCTTGTTGTTGGCTTCCTTACTAGCATTATTGCCTGTCTGATTACAAATTAAAAAATAAAATAGTTGCCAGTTTTGGAAACCAATGAGTATTTGTTAATCTTATATTGTGGTATTCTTGAAACTGAATTTCTATTATATGTCATTTTTGCATAACTAAAGAATAGGATATGTCTTACTCAGAAGTTCAAATTATGACATCTGTACCATTTCCCCCCGAAAACAAGACGTCTTTTCTTTTCAGCCTCAAAATAAGCATCAGGTCTTATTTGGGGGGATGTTTTACCTGCTTACCTTGAACCACTGCAGACATGCCTCCCATGCTCCAACATCTGTTGCACTGCTGCCAGACTTCTTCTGCAGCCACTTGCAGCACTCATGGTGCATTGCGCTGATGCCACCACTCACGGCAGAAGGCTGTGTGGTGCATTGAGCGGCAGCACCGGCACATTCTGCTGTAAGAGTGACACCGGCGCAATGCGTCGCAAGCAGCCACAAGTGGCTTCAGGTAGCAGGTAGCAGCACGACAGGTATTAGGGCATGAGAGGCCTGGCTGTGGCAGTCCTAAGGTAAGCAGGTGCGGGTCGCATGGGGCTGCTCCACCCCCACCCCAGCTTCATTTTTACACCTGCGCTTCATACAACCAGACGATGGGCAAAGCTTAACCAGGGCTTATTTTGGGGGTAGGGGTTATTAGGTGCACCTATAGAATAGGACTGGGGTTTTTTGGGGGGGGGGGAAACGGTACTGCACTTTCCAACTATGTGATCAAGCATGAGTCAAGCTGCTATTAAGGCCTACTTAATAGTAGTAAAGAAAATAAATGTCAGTATTTCTTCACCCTATTACATCAGTTGATAATTGTCCAGCAACTTTGTTTAAGGGAATCTAAACTCTCTTGAGAAGGGTCGGTACCAAAGCCTACCTACAAAAGTTGTATGAATTATATGCTGGACCTCTGCTGGATAAAGTTGCTTGGATTCACCCTACATTTGACTTTAGGCTTGGTGTAGGTGTTATGGAAGTGGCCTGAGGCTCAATGTAATTTGATTCCAGGGAAAACTTTGACCCTGTTGGTCTTGATGAATTGATTAAATTTCTCCTGATAGTTAGCTTGACTGTAAGCACCGGACTTTTCCCCTTCAACCGAAAAGGATGAACTTCTGAAAGCTAGGTACTTCAAAAGGAATTCTTTATTGAAAGAAAGTGATCCCAGTGCTAGTCAAAGCAGAATCTAAGATGCTTCCAGGCATACAGTAATAGATAAAGAGAGTTAGAACCCCTCCCCTTATTCTGATGAGGATTTAGTCAAACAAAGAACCAACATGTTAGTTCCCTCCCCCCCTTTTTCTGGGAACGTATCTTAGAAGAGTTTCCCAGAGAGTATCTTTCAGAACTGGAATTTTTATGGTCCCTTCTCCTCTTACTAACTCTCCAAGAGGTGACAAGTTTCTAGACATCTGGCTCCAGTCCTCCAGTTGTATATCATGTGCAAGTTATACAGACTCAATATAAGGTTTAAGATATTCAGGTTACATCAAAAAGGATTACTTGTACCAACTTTCCCCACCCTTCTTCTTCCATTGAAGAATGGCAGATACATGGATCTGACACTGACCATCTCTATATTAGATCCATGTCCTTCCTGGTTAATTATGCCTCTAAGGAGGTGACATACAGCTGGGCTTTAACAATGGTAAATATTTTGAAAGACAAAGTTGTCTTTCCTATCTCTTAAGAAGGTAGTAGTCTGTTCTCTCAAGAAGCCACTGCTGGCTTCCGATGGCACTTCCATTGACCAAAGACCGTGATTATGCGGGGCTTCGATTCGTGCTCAACCTGTCGGAGGATCCCAATGGGACCGGATCTACCTCAGAGGGGTGGGGAAAGAGGGGGAAACCGCCAGGTGGGTTGAGGGGAGCTGCATCTCCCCTCCCTGACTAGGTATACTCCCCTTGAAGACAGGAGGTAGAGGCAGCCTTCCTGAAGACGGGAAGCTTCCGGGATTTAAGTGTGTGCTAGAATGGTGAAGCAGTGAGCGGCGTGTAACCAGGCAAAAGATTTTGGATTTTTTCAAGACAACCCTGAAAAACGGAAGGAAAGATCCCTCGTTTAAGAGTGTGGCAATGGCGAATGGAAAATAAGAGGAAATTATAAAGTAAATAACAAATTGGACTATAAAAGGACTATAATGGAATTAGTCCAAATTTGGAATAACATACAGAAATTGGCATTAATTAGGCATTGGACAGAATGCTGGACTTGCCCTGAATTGACTATATTTAAAAGAGCTAATGGTCAAAAATTAGCGGAATACAAGCAAAAAGGGAAAAAAGAATTTTAAAAAGTAGAAAGCGATGTAAGAGCGCTACCTAATGGTTAAAGGTACTTTCTTCTTATGATTTTATGGAAAATTACTGGTCTTACAAATGTGTGAATGAGAAATGAAATGAAATAAAAGAGTATATTATAACAATAATCCTAGAAGCACCAAAAAAAGGGGGGGGACTGCAGCAAAGGGACAAGCGAAGATAATATCTTGGGACTATTTGGTGTTGATTGTGACAAGGAAAAAGAAGTAATAACAAGAGGAATTGAGATAAACAGATATTTTTGGCAAGGATTAAAATAGAAGATGCTAACTTTTAATAAAATAGAGAATAACTCATCTGATTAAGTAAGATGGAAGAAATATGCAAAGAATTCAGATTAGAACTGCAAACAGTGAGAGGAATGTTGGATATACTGGCAGAAAAATTAATGGCGATGAAGTTCACAGAAGAACAAAGAAAGTTCAAGGAGGAGAAGTTAAAAAGGGGGGGAATCAGCCCAGAAGAGCACAAAGAACAAGGGAGATTGCAAAAAGACATGAAGAGAATTAAAATTAAGAGACTGATGATAGATGCGATAAATAAAAGGAAAATATTTCTAAGATTAAACAAAAGAAAAGAAAGAACAGGAAAGAGTGGGGGGAAATACAAGTAATTGGAAGATGAAATAAAAATAATACTAGAGGAAAAAAGAGGAGTTAAGAGGGAAGACCAGAAAAACTTAGAAAAGGGAAAACTGGCCAAAATTACAAGAAACTATAAGGCTAAGAGATTTAGAGATGAGGGTTAAAGATAATATAAAGGAGGGATTCCACATAGAAATGTATTCTGGTATTTTTTTAGAAATATAGATTGAGGAGATTTGAAATTTAAAATTTATTGGGAATTATTTAAAAAATTAAAGAAATAAGTTTAATTGGAATTAAAGGGGAATAAGACCTCACTGTAAGATTATTATATAATTATATATGAGAAAAAATATAGAGTAAGAGAAATTAAAAGGTTTTATTGTTATCACATCCTTTTTAAATATATATATTAAATGGGAAATGAAAAATGTAATTCATTATTCAAATGATATTAGAAAAACAAAGAATATGGTAAACTATAAATAATTATGCTATAAAATATTTGTAATGAGATTGCAATATTATGACCAAAAAGTGAGCAATGAAAATTAAATATGATTTCATAGATGAAATTTGGTTAAATGGGAACAAAAAGGAAACTCAATTTTCTTTTTTTCTCTTTTTATTGTATACATATTTTATTAGTCATGAAATAGAAAATGTAATTGAGGGTATTAGAAAACAGAGAATATGGTAAACCAGAAAGGATTTAATTGTAAAGTATTTGTAATGAGGTTATGATTAAAAAGGAGGGGAATGAAAATTTAATAAAATTTTATAGGTAAAATTTGGTTAAATGGAAACAAAGATGAAATATGAAATGGTTATATGAATATCTCTGGTATAAATATAAGATTTATTGTAGATTGGGGAAAACACCATGTGGATCCTGAATATATTTGTTCTATTTTATCTTTATTTTGTTTGTTTATTGTAGATCGGCTTTGAGAAAGTTAATGAAGATAATAATGTAAAATAAAATAGGTGGTAAGCTGGAAATGAAAACAATAGGGTTAAAGAGTGGAGAATATGAGGATGAAATGCTTTTGATATTGGATTAATGAATTGAAAATATGAAGTGAGAACTTATTCAAAGATCAGTGGAATAGATAATGATTTGATATGAAATTAGATTAAGGAAGTTGGAAATATAATTATGACTACGTATGAATGTTGTAACCTGGAATCACGTTGCTCACTTGAAGAGATGTATAAAAAATAAAATAAAATAAATATTTTTTAAAAAAGAAGCCATTGCTAATGGTACTAAACAATTTTTATCCAGTCTTCAAGTTCTTTTTTTTTTTTTAGAAAAGACTTTAAAGGTGGTGGTCATGCAACCATTTCAGAGAACTCTGGAGGAACTGGATTACCTGTATCCCTTTCAATCAGGATTCAGGCCTTAATTTGGGCTAAAACAGTATATCTGTACTTGTAGATAACCTCTGGCAAGAGCAGAATGAAAATGGTTTGTTTATCATTGCTCTTCTTGACCTCTTGACAGCTTTTGACATTATCAACCATGGTATCCTTCTGGATCAGCTTTGGGTGTTGGGAGAGGGTAATACTGCTTTATGTTCCTTCCTTCCTTCCTCTCTCTCTGCTCAATCCAGCCTATTTGATCTAGCAGGAATAGCATACTCCAGGTCTCATTTATTATGGAGTGCCATCTGGCAGGGCTCAAGAAGAGAGCCTTTTCTGAACTTCCGGTTTGTCGGCTTCGCGAGCGGCAGGGATTTGCGAAGCTGCGCGATCCCTGCTGCGCTAGCCGCTTTTGGTGCTCCGATCTGGACGGGTCCGGAGCTAGGCTGCCCTGCAGGGGCAGCTGAAGATAGGGGGGATCCGGAGAGGGGTTTGGGGGTGTTGCAGACCCCCTCCCCGGCCGGCAGAACCCCCTTTTCCCAAGACGGTGCAGCGGCGGTCCGCAATGGCCGCCACAAAGAAGCTGGCAGCCGGGTAAGAATGCGCAGGAGGAAGTGGAGAAAGTTTTTGAAAAGAGAAAGTTTTTCTTGGTTCCCAGGACTCTAAGACATATTTAACAAAACTCCTGAAAATTATGACTTTCTGAATGATACCTTCTAGAAGAGGAAAAAAGCGGCAGTTTGGTGGTGCTGAAAGGAAAGTTTACTCTCCTTCCCGACGGAATTAATAAGTGGACATTGTGAAACCTGTTTTTTTCAGGTAAAACTAGCTTTATGGGATAAGTCGGAAGGGAGAGGACAAAAAATATATTCATCTGGTTTGATTTTGTTGGAGGAGATGCCTTAAGGATTTGAAGACAGAAATAGAACTCCAATAAGGCTTCAAAATACAGATTTGGACTTTCTTTTTTCTTTTGTCTGATACTACCACTGGAAGAGAAAGGGAGAATTTTGTCTTGGCTTGGATTGATTGAGGATTGTGGATTTTGGGATTGTTTTACTTTTTTTTGAAATATCTTGGTTGGTGTAAGAAGAAAGAGGGAAAAAAGAAAAGAAAAGAAAAGATCTATAATGGCTTTTTCTTTTGAGGAACTGAGGGAAGAATATGAGCAAACAAAAGCAGCCGGTAAAGATGGTATGGAAAAAGCCTTCCTATTTTTAGAAATCGCGCTGGTTAACTATCAACAAACAATACAACAGATGGAGGCAGAAGAACAACAAGAAGAAGAAGATGAAGACGCCATCTTTAATGAATTCCAAAATTTAACTAAGAAAGAAGGAAGGAAGAAAGCGAGAAAAATGAAGGACTTAAGATCTAAAAAAACATTTAAGAAAGAGAAAAATAAGATGCAAAATAAATATAATGATAGTAAACAAAAGAAAAAGGGAACACAACAGAGAAGGGATGCCAGCAAGGCAGAGGCTAGAAGAAGGGGGGGGGTAGGAAGATTTGGTGGGGGAAGAAAGAAAGGGGAAAGGCGGAGAAAAGCCACAAAGTTTTGAAATTAGATGGGAAAAGAGGAATTTTTTTTAGGGACAAAGGGTAAAGTACAATTTCCTTAAAAAAGATTTTGCAAGGTACATAAGATGGTATTGTAACATCTGTATTAGAAATAGAAAATTAGAATGGCTTAAGAGTTAATAAGAAATTAAAATGTTGAAATGTTTAACAATGATTGATTTTAAAATGTAATAAAATATTAAAGGGAAAGGCAATGGGAATGTTATAAGATTTAATATTTAGATTTATTATTTGACTATGTATTTAATCATTTTGGATTTATCACTCTGTTTTTATTGTTATTAAAAGAAAAAAATTAGTAGATAGAATGTACCAAGCAGAATCAGATTGGGTATTAGGTGTTATTTTAAATGTTAATCTAATTAATTTAGGGGGAGGATAGAAAGGCATCATACTCTGATTAGTGATTTCAGGAGAAATTCTTTTTTTTTATAAGGAATGAGATAGAGGGATAATAAAGAATGGGCAAAAGATACAAATATAATGATTTAAATTAAGATGGATTAAATAAGATAGAATTATGAAGAGTGAAATGTGTGGAGAAGTTTATATAGAAGATATAGAATGGTAAACAAAATAGGTAATGATATGTAAGATGAGCATGAATATAATTGAAGCCCATATAAAGAGAGGTACCTGGGGCCAAGTTACTTTCCTAAAAGATTTTTTATATGTTTGTTTGTTGTGTGTTTATGTTTTTGAGAGTATTAATAAAACCTTGTAGAAATACAGAATGAGAATAATGGTAATCAAGTCAGAAAGAAATAGATGAAATAATAATAGTGAAATTGAATAAGAGTAAAGAGAAGTAAAGAGAAATTGGATAAGAAGTATTTTTATGCTCATATGGAAATGGCTTAAAATAGAATTGTATTGTATAAAATAAGGTTTTATCTGACTTGTAAAATTTATAATGGAAAAAGGTTCAAATATGTAATGGTTGTTGATGATTTGTTTGTCTTTGAAATTAATAAAATTTGCTTAAAAAAAAAAAAAGAAGAAGAGAGCCTTTTCTGGCATGATGGAATGTACTTCTCCTATAGGTCAGATTGGCCCTGATCTTGTCAGACTTTTGTAAGAATATAAAGACACTATTCTGTCACTGAACCTTGGGATTTGAATATTAATGTTGCATACAATGGCTGTGCTGGATTTGTGTTATGGATTATTTTATTTCAGCTAAAGATTATATACGTGTGTGTGTGTGTGTGTGTGTGTGTGTGTGTTTATACCATGTTTCTCCAAAAAGATGACCTACTTTGAAAAGAAGCCCTATTACATTTTTGAGCGCATGTGATCAAATTAAGCCCCACCCACAAAATTAGCCCTAATTAAGACTCCACCCACTCTGGAGTGCCCACCTTGAGGTTTGTCATACCGGCGCAGCCTCTTGGAGCAGGACCCTGTAAGGCTTGTTGTGGCATTGAATCATGAATGGCAGAATCTCCGTGAGCTTCATCACACCGGTGCAGCTGGCATTCTGCTATGAACGGCTGTGCCAGTGTGTCCAAACTCACGGCGGTGCTACTGCTCACACACACAATGGCACAGCAACCCTTGCAGTGTCCTGCTTGTAGAGGCTGAGGCAATGTGACAAACCTCATGGCAATGCCACCACTCGCATGTGCAATGCTACAACAAGCTTTGCAGGGATACGCAACAAACTGGGATACGCTGAAGGCTAGGAATGGAGTCTTTTTCATGAATGGCAGGAAAATGGGGAGGGGAATTTTCCTGCCTGTCATCCATTCCTCAATCTCCCTCTCCCTCCCCAATTTCCTGTCTTTCACGAAAATGGCTCCACTCCCAGCCTTCAGCATATCCCAGGATTGCAACATTGAAGGCTCTATTCCGAACCTTCAACATTGCAATCCTGGGATATGCTGAAGGCTCAGAATGCCTCCGCTTCAACGCAGAATGATTTTCACTCCTCTCTGCAGCTGGACAGTTGCCCCCCACCAGGGGTGGGATCCGACAGGGTTAACTATCAGTTTGGTGATTTATGAGGTTCGGTGATTTACGATGTGCTTCCCTGCACACTGTGCGCCTGTAAATCGTCATCAGCACACTGCAAGCAGCAGCCTTTGAAAAAGGACTTTTTTCCTGCTTTTTTAACTACAGATGTGCCTCGTGCGGCAGCTAAAGTTGAAAAAGCAGGAAATAAAGGTCATGTAAGAACCCAGGCAGGCGGGTGGGCAAAAACACAAGCAGACATAGAACCGGTTCTATGTCTGCTGCTCTTCAGAGCTACCGGTTCTACAGAGGTGGACAGAACCAGTAGAAACCCACCCCTGCCCCCCACCCCCGTGCCGTCACTCATGCCGGCCATGCCCATCCCCCAGGCTTATTTTCAGGGTAGGGGTAATATTAGGCCCACCCCAAAAAAATTAGGATTGCTCTTATTATTAGGGTAGGTCGTGTTTTCTGAGAAACACAGTATATATAAATGTGTGTATGTATGTATGTATGTGTGTGTGTGTGTGTGTGTGTGTGTTTACATACATACATGCATACATACAAACATACATATATATGTTTTTCACTATTTATGTTTTCATGTCTTTAATACTAGCCACCAAGTTAAGAGTTTGATATAGATGTCCAAATAAATTTTACTTTTAAATAAAATAAATAAAAATAAATACCTCAGCTTTCCCATTTTTGTTATTGTTGCCTTGTGAAACCATTTTTTCCAGCACAGCAAGAAGATGCAAGGCTTTCTCAGCTTGACAAGTCAGGAGATATAAATCAACTAGTAGAAAACATACTGCCTGTGCAAACTTTTCCTCTAAAAAACACACAAAACATATTCCAAACATTTCAACATATGGAATATTACCCTTGCAAAGATTTAGGCTTCTCACACAAGTATTATATAGTCAACTATCTGCTCAAATAGTATCTTTATAAGAATCGGACAACAAGATGTTTAGGACATTTCTATATTACTAAACTTTTCTTGACTAAATATATATGTTAATTATCCTACATAAATTGCATATGTCAATTATAATAACAGTTTGTATAATATCAGTAAAGGACAAAAAACAATAGTCGTATAAATAGAATGAATGAATAAATGAATAGATCTCTTCAGTTATAATCTTACCAAAAGGTTCAATAAATTGATAAAGTTTCTCCCCAATTATTATTGCTTCAGTGTATTGCCGCAGATGATATAAAACAACAGCTTGATTATAATAGAGCATGCTGTTTTCAACATCATCTAAACCATCCATCTCCTCAACAGTTGAATGAACCTGTTGGGGGAAAGAAAAGGAAAGAGATCCAAATATATCTCTATTGACTCATTTTTCAACAATGATTATCAAGCAACAATGAAGTTGCATACAACAGACTCTACTACAAATGGATTAAAATACTGTAAATATAACTATATAGTTAAAACATTGCTTAACGATTAATTCTACTGAGAAGATCTATTTAAAAGTAAAGACAGGATACAGTTAAGAATGATTTTTGCCTCTGCTTAACCAACTGAAATACCATAAACATTTAGCATATGGTAAGTGCTGTTTGATCATAAAATACTGATATTGTTTGTTAGAAAAAGTAATGATTTACCAATAAAATAAACGAAGACTGAATCATTTCTAACACAGTGGAAAATAATTCAAATATATTTTAAGATAAAGATCAAAAGGTTTGAGAATCAATTTTGCTTCTTAAGATTCACCAGGCAGAATCAAATTCATAGATATTCTTCATATAGTCTTTGAATAGCATGTCAGAAAAACAGTGCCTGAGAAATACAAGTCATTACTGATAATGATTTGTAGCTATTCCCCTTAATTCCTTTAAATCCATAAGAAACTTTAAGACCTTAATAAGAGTAGATATGAGAGAGTAGAGAGTTTCAATCTATGCAGCCCACCATATCTATGACTAAAACGTTCCACGGATTTCCGTCTTAGACATCATTTATTTATTTTTCTGCCTTCAAGATAGCCTTGACTCCTGGCAATTCCCTGGATAAATAAACAAGTTTTATTGGAAGATTCTCATTGGATGGTTTTCAGAAATGGTTGGCTTAAGGCATAAACAGGATTAAAACTAATTGTTTCTAGCCTGGTAACTTCAACCGCACCAGTTGAACATACCAAATTGGCTCTCATTATTATTTGCAACCTGTTTATTTTTATTTGTTCAACTATATCCATATTGCGTAATAAACTAAATGCATTCCAATCCTGAATAAAAAAGAAGTGGTGATAGAAAATGGACGTTGGTATAATTACCTGAGAACGCCCTTTTTATCTATGCTGCTAGAGAGCCCAGGATGGGTTAGATTCCTCCTAATGATGTCATTAAGCTGAGTCTCTTCTTGTATATAAAAGGCCAGCCCCTGGGAGTGTCCCCAGCTTTGGCGAAGATACCTAACAGACTGTATGAGTGTCTCTGAAAGTGAAACAGAATCTAGAACGTTAATATTGCTTACCAGAATCCGAATGAAACAAGGGAGGGGCTGGGCTCTCTAGCAGCATAGATAGAAAGGGCATTCTCAGGTAATTATACCAACGAACATTCTCCTCCATGCTGCTGCGAGAGCCCAGGATGGGATATACCAAAGCCTGCATGTCCACGGGAGGGTCCTCGTCCGGTGATGACTCCGATTGTGGAACAACTCGCTGAAGTATCCGTCTGCTGAAGGCCACACTTGCAAAGGCAAAGGAATCCAGATGGTAATGTCTGATGAAGGGTGACAGGGATGCCCGTGTGGCCACTCTGCAAATCTCTTCCAGGGACGCCTGGTTGACCCAGGCAGCTGAAGTCGCGGGGCTTCTGGTAGAGTGCGCAGTCAGCCCTTGAGGCACCGGAAGAGTGATAGCCTTGTAGGCCTGTGCAATGCACGTCCTGACCACCTGCTTAAGGTGGGGAGGAGAGGCCTTGTTCCCCAAGCGAGATGGGGAAAAGGAGACAAACATAGCTTCAGTTTTCCTAAAGGTAGAAGTGCGCTTGAGGTAAATTCTAAGCGTTCTCCTAACACCTAAGGTCTAAGTTGTGGTGTGGAAGGGGGCAGAAATCTGGCAACACAATATCCTGGGACCTGTGAAACCAGGTATTGACCTTTGGGATAAAGGTGGGATCTAGACGGAGAACAACTCTATTATCATGAAAGGTGCATAGATCCTGCCTGATTGAGAGGGAAGCCAGTTCTGACACCCTTCTAGACAATGTGATTGATACCAGAAAAACCACCTTTAGTTTCAAGAATTGCAGAGACACTGTCCTGAGGGGTTCAAATGATGGTTCTGTCAGGGCCTGAAGCACCTTAGAAAGGTCCCATGAAGGATACCTGTGTATTACTGGGGGATGAAGGTTAGAAGCCCCTTTTAAAAATCTCCTGACAGAAGGATGGTGAGACAAGGAAGGGAATGAGTCCCAGGATAGCACTAAGGAAAGGGCCGCTACTTGGCGTTGTAAGGTATTAGGGGCTAGTCACTTTTCTAGGCCCTCTTGAAGGAAACGTAGAACCTCTGCCAGTTGAGCTGAGGTGGGTGAAAGACCCTCCTTACGACACCATTGACAAAAACCCCTCCAGGTGGCATTGTAGATGCATGTCATGGATAGTTTGTGAGACACCTGGATGGTGAGAATAACTTTCTCTGGGAGATTAGCCTCTCTCAACTGCTGCCACTCAAGTGCCACACGTTCAGTTTGAACCACTGGGGATCTGGATGGAGCAAGGCTTCCTGATGGAGGGAGATTGTGTGGTCTGGGATCCTCCAGGGACAGGCTACAGACAGGTTCACCAGGTCTGCAAACCAGTGCCTCCATGGCCAATAGGGGGCCAGGAGAATTAGCTCCGCCCGTTCCTCCAACATCTTTCAAATGACTGCCGGAAGAGGGGGAAAGGCGTAGAGAAGACACCCCCCCCCGGGCCATCTGCATCAAACAGCATTGGTCCCCTCTGCTCCCTGACAAGGAGACCTGGTGAAAAATCTGTTTACTTGGGCGTTTTGGGGAGTGGAGAAGAAATCCACTTCCAGGGTCCCAAACCTCAGGCAAAGGTCTCTGAAAAGGGAGGGTGGAGGTGCCATTCTGCGTGGCCGACCGAGCTCCGGCTCAGCCAGCCGGCTTAGGAGTTGTCGACTCCCGAGATGTGATCTGCTGTTATCGACAACAAATCTCTCTCCACCCACAGCCCCAAATGTTCGGCCTCCCTCATGAGGGCCCTGGACCTCATCCCCCCATGCCTGTTGACGTGTGCCTTTGCGGCCATGTTGTCCATCAACACTAGTACATGGGATCCAGTGGCCCTGAAGTGCCTCAGTTCTAGAGATATGGACCTGAGCTCTAGCCAGTTTATGGGGCAGTTTTTGTCTGTCTGGGACCAAATACCCTGAGCTATCTGGCCCTCCATATGGGCCCCCCAACTTAGAAGACTGGCGTCTATGGTAACAGCCTGTCTGGCTCCTTGAACGGGAGTCCCTTCCGGAGGGCTGGGGAGAACCACCACTTGAAGGAACGCAGGGCCTGTGGAGTGAGTTGGACCCTGATCGATGTGTGGCTGGTTCCTGCTCGTTGAAAAGGGAGCAGGAACCATTGTAGAGATCAGGAATGAAGCCGTGCCCATGGGACGATGCCGATGCACGAAATCATCTTCCCCAATAATTTGGACAGCAGTGCCAGGGGAACAGTATGTTGATGTTGAACCTGATGGATGATCTCGGTGAGGCTTTTCCCCTGGTCTGGAGACAGAAAGACTTGGCACAGGGTTGTGTCAATGACAGCCCCCAGGTGAAGCAATCTAGTTGTAGGAGTAAGGGGAGGGCTCGATATTGGAAATGATGGTGATGGTAACAGAAATGGAGAAACCGGCGATGGTGAGGCCAAATGGGTATATAGAGGTAGGCCTCCGTAAGGTCAGTAGAGGAGAGGAGATCGCCCTCCGAACGCTCTCTAAAATAGAATGCAGGGTCTGCATTTTGAAGCACCTATATGGGATAAACTCATTCAAAAATTTGAGGTCAAGGATGGCTTGCCAACCCCCCGAGATCTTAGGGACCATGAAAAGTCGGGAATAAAATTCCTGTCCACATTGATGTTCCGGGACAGGTTGAATGGCCCTTATGTCAACTAGGTGTTGAACAGCTGATTCCATAAGGGCCCTTTTTGAACTGTTCCGCGAAACGGGACAGAACACAAAATTCTCTGGGTGTGGCGAGAGAAATTCCAACTGCAGCCCTGACCGTACAGTGTTGAGTACCCAGGCATCTGTCATTGATTCCTCCCATCTGGAGGCGAAGTAAGCCTCTGATGGGTGGAAAGAACGAGGGATTACTTAGAGCAGAGGTCTCATTCTCGCAGCCCGCGGGCCAATTGCGGCCCGCAGGACGATATCCTGTGGCCCCCACCGTGATATGAAAGTATAATATTAGTGCGGCCCGCAGGGGGAATGGACCTCTGAAGGAAGTCCCACCCGCCGTTCCTCGTCGTGGCTGACATTCGATGCTAGGCTAAGCTACACCGACTTCATGTACACTACGCTTGTAACAACAGTGTGGAAGATGACGAACAGTCCGGTAGCAGTTGCCTTTTTTTGCGGTCGCCATTCCGGTACTTTCTACCATCAACAAATGCCATGATCAAACGCAGAGAAAGGAGACTGCTACCGGGCTGTTCGTCATCCGCCGCGCTGTTGTGACAAGTAGAAGCGGAAATGACGTCACGCGTCGAGACGTTCTCCATGCGTCGCTAGCTGGCTAAACACTTCTATGAAACGTGGAACAAGAGCAACTCCAAGTGGAATAAACTAAATTTTGTCACACCCTCATCATGTCTTTGTCAAAGCCAAAGCCTGCAGTGAAGAGAAGGATAGGTGACGAGCACAGACAATTTCAGCAAAGGTGGGAAACGCAGTATTTCTTTGTTGAGCACAGGGGCATCCCGACATGCCTTATTTGCGCTGAAAAAGTTGCAGTGCACAAGGAATACAACCTGAAACATCATTATTCAACTAAACATGCCGAGGAATGTGCAAAATATCAGGGGGATGAGAGAGCCAACCGGGTTGCCAGCCTTAAAACACGTCTAGTGAGGCAACAAGATTTCTTCAAGAAAGCAACCAAAGAGAATGCTGCAGCAGTCGAAGCTAGCTATATGGTTAGTGAGATGATTGCTAAGGCGGGAAAACCATTCACAGAGGGCGAGTTTGTAAAAAAATGCATATTACAGGCTGCAAGTATAGTTTGTCTGGAAAAGAAAAGTCAATTCAGCAACATCAGCCTTTCTGCCAACACAGTGGCAGAGCGCATTTCTGACCTGTCAAGTGACATTTATCATCAACTGTGTGAGAAAGCCAGATGTTTTGATGCATATTCAGTTGCTCTTGATGAGAGCACAGACATAACTGACACTGCTCAGCTCACAATTTATGTCCGTGGTGTTGATCGCAATTTTAAAGTGACAGAGGAGTTGCTCAGAGTAATCCCAATGCATGGCCAGACCACCACTCATGAGATATTTCACCAGCTGTGTGATGCCATTGAGAATGCCGGTTTGCCATGGAATAGGTTTGTTGGAATAACAACCGACGGAGCACCATTAATGACGGGGAGGAAAAATGGACTGGTGGCACTTGTTCAGAGAAAACTTGAGGAGGAGGGTGTAGAAGAGGCTATTGCTCTGCACTGCATTATCCATCAGCAGGCCCTGTGCAGCAAATGCCTGAAGAGTGACAACGTGATGTCTGTTGTTGTGAAATGCATCAACCACATCAGATCCAAGGGCTTAAAGCACAGGAGGTTCTGTGCTTTTTTTAGAGGAAATGGAGTCAGAATATGAAGATGTGCTCTATTTCACCGAGGTACATTGGCTCAGCAGGGGAAATGTCTTGAAAAGATTTTTTGAACTGAAAGAAGTGAAAGCCTTCATGGAGAAGGATGGGATGGCTGTTCCCGAGTTGAATGATCAGAAATGGCTCATGGACTTAACTTTTCTTGTCGACATCACACATGAGCTGAATGTACTGAACAAGAAGTTACAAGGCCAGGGGCAGCTTGTCAGTGCTGCCTATGACGTGAGAGCATTCTCCACAAAACTTGTGTTATGGAAAGCCCAGCTCTCTCAGACAAACCTTTGCCATTTCCCAGCATGCAAGGCACTTGTGGATGCAGGCACACTATTCAGTGGTGAGAAGTATGTTGATCCTATTTTGAAGCTACAGAAGGAATTTGATCACAGATTTGCAGACTTCAAGACCCACAGAGCCACTTTTCAAATTTTTGCAGACCCCTTCACCTTTGATGTGCAAGATGCCCCTCCTGTGCTTCAAATGGAGCTTATTGACCTGCAATGCAACTCTGACCTCAAGGCCAAATTTAGGGAGGTGAATGGAAAAGCAGACAAGCATGGGCAATTTTTGAGAGAATTGCCCCCCAGCTTCCCTGAGCTTTCCCGAATGTTCAAGCGGACCATGTGCCTTTTTGGGAGCACATATTTGTGCAAAAAGTTCTTCTCCACCCTGAACTTTAACAAGTCCAAGTACAGGTCCAGACTTACTGATGATCATCTTCAAGCCATACTGAGGGTCTCAAGTGCCTCCTCTCTCAAGCCAAATGTGGCTCAGATATGTGAGAGGAAGCGTTGTCAAGTCTCTGGCAGCAAGGAGTAAGCTGGAGAAGCCATGTTCTGAGGAACTGTTCATGATCTTCATTCAATGTTCCATTCATGTGTTCAGGACAGTTCATGTATTGGAGAAATCATTAACTGTTGATGACATTTGAGGATATTTTTTTAACAACGTTTTTTGTGGAATCCCTTATGCGGCCCAGCCTCACCCAGACTCTGCCTCCAGCGGCCCCCAGGTAAATTGTGTTTGAGACCCCTGACTTAGAGCGACGGAAGGAACGACCCCCTTCCCCACAAAAGGGCCGTTTACCCGCAGAAGGTTGTTGTCTGCCGGGTGCGTCTGGGCATTGATCTTGTCGCTGGGAATATGCCCTCTGTGGCCAGGAAAAACAGGGGTAGTCTCGGGCCGAAATGTCAGTGGATGGTATGGAGCAGGACAATAGTCAGTTTTCTTTCCTGTTGAGGAAAGAATCTTCTGTTTGTCCCTGGTCTCGATGAGTTGTGGCTCTAGTGCATCGCCGAAGAGCCTTTCACCTGTACAGGGAGCTGAAGTCAGTTTCCACTTCCATCGCGACTCCACCTGCCAATTCCAAAGCCATAAGAGCCTTCTCGCTGCCACCAAGGAGGCCATGGCTCTGGCTGCAAACTTGGCGGAATTAAGGGTGGCGTCCGCCGTAAATTCCACTGCTGCTATTATTTTGTTGAGGTACTGGTGAGACCTGAAGTCAGATGCCGGGGTCCAGTCTTAGATGCAGATAATCAGAGTTGGAAGGGACCTTGTAGGTCATCTACAAGCAGGAAACCCTACACCATTTCTGGTGTCCAATCTCTTCTTGAAAGTCTCAACTGATGGCGCTCCCATTCCGAGGGCAAGCTGTTCCATTGGTTGATGGTTCTCACTGTCAGAAAGTTTCTCCTTGTTTCCAGGTTAAATCTCTCCTTGTTCTCTCCTTGAGCTTTAGAAAATAGCTTGATCCCTTCCTCCCTGTGGCAGCCCCTCAAATATTGGAAAACCGCTATCATGTCTCCCCTAGTCCTTCTCTTTCCTAGACTAGCCAAGCCCAATTCCTGCAACCGTTCATTGTATGTTTTAGCCTCCAGTCCCCTAATCATCCTGGTTGCTCTTCTCTGTACTTTTTCTAGAGTCTCAACATCTTTTTTATAATGTGTTGACCAAAACTGGATGCAGTCCTCTAGGTGTGGTCTTACTAAGGCTTTATAGAGTGGTATTAGTACTTCCCTTGATCTTGACTATATCTTGTAGTTGGTGCAGCCAGCAGAGTGAGGACCTTGTGAAAAACAATGCAGCGGTCGAAGCCCAGACAACCCATGCACCTGCTTGGTGGTTGCATTTGAGTGTCTGTTCGGAGAGTTTGTCCTCAGATTTAAGTACGGCCTCTAGCTCAGTGGGGGTGCCAGAGGAGGAGAATGAGGCCACGACCGGAGCATCTACAGGGGGCACTGCAAGAGCGTTGGCTAGTGATGGACCCACATTGTAAAATCGTCTACTGTGAAAAAAAAGGCCTGCAGTGGGGGAAGCACACTATTCCCTGACCAGGTCGAGAAACAACAGAGGTGAGGGTAAGACCTCCATGTAAACTACGGCTTGGAGAAAAGGGAGTCTCCTTGCCCAGAGGGTTCCCTTGTGGTTCAGGGGCTACTTCCTCAGGGGACAGCCTGGTTGTAACCAGAGCCTTAAGTACGAGTGGTTTGAATAAGGCTGGTTTGAAGACTGTTGCTGAGGGAGGTTGATCTGGGCGAGATTCTTCCTCCTCAGAGGTTAGGGTCCCAGATCTCCCCTCTTCCCGATCTGAACGAGGGGAGTGACTGTGCACAGAAGAGTCAACGCAGTCGTCCTCCCCATAATCCTCCCCATTCTAAGTGGGTGGAGAGGGCCCTATGCTTCTGGGGTGGATGAAATCCTCTCTGAAGGGGCAAGGGGCCCTGGGGTTGTGAAGGGAAAAGGTAGTGAGCCCTTTCTAAGGGCCGAAGGATTTGCTAGAATCCTTCAGCCAAGCCCTGTCTGATGAATCCTGAATCTCCCTAGGCCTGTCGCTAATGGGAGGGTCAAGGGATCAAAGGCCTGCCGCAGTGGGAGTAAAGGTAGATTCCGGTCTGGGCCGGGAGCTGCCCTGGACCCAGGGGGCTGGAGGGGAGGTATAGGCCCAAGTGGCCTGTTTGAAATTAGGCTCTGACATGCTTAGGTCTTGAGGATCGAGCTGTTCCTCCTGCCTCTCAGGGGACCAAGATGGAGGGTTTCCAAAGGATCTGAAATTTTCTCCCTTCCCCTAGAAGGGTTTCCCTGGTAACCCTGGGATTCTCTTGATTGGGAAGCCTGTTGCAGTTGCCCTCTCATTTGCTCTATTGTTTTATTAAACTGTCTCTCTAAGGCAGCGTGTCTTCATTTCTCAGCCTTAAGTTCGGCCTGGACGTTTTCTTGGGGGCCAGAGCCTTAGCCTTAATTTTTGCAATCACCTCTCTCTGTACTGATTGAGATCGCTGTCTGCATCTTTTTCTTCTGACTGGTTGGAGGGCCAGGTCCTCTGGACAAGGAGGTACAGCTTGGGCCTTGTCCTAATCTATGGCAAGAATAGGCAAAGCACAAGAGGTGCTGGAAACTACCCTCAGAATGTGCTTCCTATTAGTGGGGCCTTGCTGCCGAGGAATCCAAGAAATTTGCTCTTGTTTTGAGGCCAATCTGAAATTGGGCCACTTAAAATGGTCGCTCACCTCATGCAATGGAGGATTTGCTCCCCCAAAATGGCTGCCCACACCTGCTGTGGCCTCTGGTAATGGTGGTTGCTCCTTAGGCCGCTAAGAGCCCCGAGCGACAAATTCGGCAGTTAGAAATAGGGAAAAGCTGTGGGGGAGGTTGATGGACGCTTCCCATACTTGTCTTCCCTGATGCTAGCAACGTTGATTCCTCAGCATGACAGGAGAGCAGAGCCCCACTCTCCTGAAGACACAGCTGCCCAGATCCCCAGGAGCTGTGCTTAAAACTGTATTTGCTTTTGAAGAGTTTGAATGGTAGAATTATCACAGTGCTTTCAGAGACATAGCTTACTGACTACTGACTAAAAGAAGCTGAGTCAAAGCTGGGGACACTTCCAGGGGCTGGCCTTTTATATACAAGAACAGACTCAGCTTAATGACATCATCAGGGGGAGTCTAACCCATCCTGGGCTCTCGCAGCAGCGTGGAGAATTGTCTTTCATGTCTTTTGTTCTTGTTTTTTAAAAAATTAATTTTTAGAAAATACAACTTTTTAAAAAGAAAAATAATAATTTGCCTAACACAAGAAATGGAGCACCAAAGATTAGTATAAGTGATTAACTCAGCAAAAAAAGCAGTACCTGGTTTTTCAGCTGATTCAGTGTTTGTTTCAAATTATCAGTTGTTGTTTGATTACTTTTACAGAATTCTGCTACTGCTATGTTCAAAACTATTTTGTAATCATCTTTGTTTATTTCTTGCAAGCAGCTAAGGTATTGTAGACAAGTATCATAGTTTCCAGCCTGTAAAATCAATTTTAAAAAATACAAGGAATAAGCAGATATGTTTTAATACAAATTAATCAATAATTTGAAATGCTAAATGTCTTATAATTACGTGCTAAATGTCTTATAATTACGTAAATACATTGCTTGCAATTAATTTTGTTTCAATGGGATTTAAATCCATTGTGATATCATGAATATTTTACTTGCTCTTAAAAAAGAAACAATTTACCTTCTTCCATTAAGATTATATACAAGGTGGCAGAACTTACTGCAATAAGACATTTCAAAATTCAAGCAACACAGCATTTGTCAGTTTTCCTGAATAAATCAGACAGGAAACATGAATACATAATAGATAAGCTAATTTTATTTTACTGTAGGCTAATTAACAAATTTTTGCAAGTCTAAAGGTATAAATTCCCCATAGTTGCTTTTAATTGCCTGAACAATTACGGCGAGTCCTTCCTAAGTTTCTTCCTCTGACTGGGAGCTCCTGCTTCTCTTGTCTGATTGTTTCTCAAATAGCATCTCTTCCCTTTGCCCTCCCCACACATCTATTCTTTTCCTTCACATATACAAATCTAAAAACACAAGAAACAAATTGGTAAATAAAAGCTAGATACCGTATTTTGGTTTTCCTATCAATGCAGTTGTTTAATCTGCAGAAAATGTGGTAAAGAATCTCTTACTTTCAAATGCAGTAAGCAATCTATATTAAGTCAAGAATTATCTTACCAAAAAGGCTTGTAGTGCACTGTTTGATAATTCCTTTTCTTGATCTGTAATTCCAGAAGTACCTACTCCTTCATGTTTCTCTGTTCCCTGATCTACAAAATAAATGTTAGAACAACAATAAATCTATCTGAAATGTCAAGTTAGTCATTTATTCAGTGTGTCAGTCTAGACTCCTCCAGTTTTCATGGCAACATTTTTGAAGAGATTTTCTATTGTTTTATTCCTAGGACTTGGGATAGCCTAAGATCCCTTCTGTGTCTTAGGCAGAACTAAAACCCAGTTTCCCAGTGTCTAGCCTAATTTATTTATATAAGAGCGAAATGCCACTCATGCATCATCACAAAATCTCCAGAACTGTAAAGCCTATAAACTTGAAATTTGGCACATATGTTCGTCTTGGCTTCTAGGTGCTCACTAAACAAGGATTTGTTGAAATGACCATAAGAGCATTAGTATTTCATACATTATTATTAACATGCTCTGATGCTAAGGAGTTCTACTCCCCCCTCCCCACCTGAAAAGAAATCTATTCCAACTGCAGTTGAGCTAAGCCACGCCCAGGCTTGCTTCTTGCTCACACAGCAAATACTGTTTCACTTTCCAAACAGCCCTCAACTCTCTCACACACTGACAGGACGCTAGCCAGATGAATACTGATGGATGCTGGTAGGCAGAGGCAGAATTATTTCTTCCTTATTTTCCTCCCCAAAACTTGCCCGATCACATAGTTTCGTAGCAAAGCACAGTTACCCTGCTAGTGTCTTTAATAACCATAATAAACTGATTCTGTACTGAAATATTTTTAACCCTGTGAAGATTCTAAATTTAATAAATCTAAACTATTCCTCGGTAATGTTTTCAATGATATTCTCAGTTTATAAACAGTTCAATATTTAAGTTTGGATTGAACAAGTTATCTAAGACATTGTAAAATTTATTGGGACAGTGTATATGGATATAAGATCTGGAGCAGGCAAAAAGACATCTAGCTAAATCTATTGGATGATTGGTAATAGAATGAAAATGCTGTTTGACTCTTCTCACACTATAACTAAAGTAAATGGTACCTGAAAGAAATTTCTGGATTGAGATTTAATTATTCTAGGAATAAGTAACTGATTAATTGATGATGTCAGAGTTATTTTTTTCCCCTATTATTTTTCCTATATAAAGAGCAACAATTTTAATGTCTATATAAACAGTGTGTTGTCTGGTTACAGTAATTTTGAGCAATAGTCATCATCATAATGTTCATTAATAGTGATAATAACAGTATTTTCTCAACATAATATTGTTAATACTAAATCATATTGATAATAAACATGGTAAAATTAATCCTTCACTTATAATTTTAAATATTGTAACCTGTTTCTGTTATTTAATCATGAATAAAATGGATCCCATGTTTCAAAATATTCTGTATCTTACTTTTCTTTAATTTTAAGTGTTAATTTATCCATTTCTGCCCATTCTAATATTTTTTTCCACTATCTTCTCATCTGTGGGGATCTCCACACCTTTCCAATGTTGTGCAAATACAATTCTGGCCGCTGTTACCACATGTAATATTAAATACATAGTCCCTTTATTATATTTTTCTGGTATGATACCCAACATAAATATTTCTGGTTTTAAATCTAACATGTTCCTTTGTCATTTTTTTTCTATCCAAGTATGTATTTTTGTCCAATATGTTTTTGCTTTGGGGCATGTCCACCATATGTGGTAGTACGAGCCCGGAGTCTGATTACACTTCCAACAGCTAAATGTAGCTGACATATCTTTATACATCTTGATGCTAGTGGAAAGGGCAGAACATTTGTAAAACATTTAGAACATTTTATATAAATTTTCTTTGTATGCAGTAGACATTGTTAATTTATAATTTCGATCCCACATCTCTTGCCATTTATCAGAGTTCTAAAAACATAGACCCTGCAAGCTGTGTTTGCTCACATCAGCCTTAAAACTCACAGGACAATAGGTTAATTGCTTCTGATATTGCTCATCTTCATTTTAGCTTGCTTTGCAAGCTGTGCTGTGTATAATATGTATGAGGTAGAGCCAGTGATTGCTTGGATGTTCAGTTTACATAATATTCTTTATTTTACTTATACTGAATATTTTTTTAAAAAACAATCTAGTTCAGTCTATAGATATTCTTAGGATCATTGCAATTAGAAATTATGATACACGATGATACACATAAAGTCAACAGTCTTTCTGTATTGCAGTTAGAGATTGGTAAGATATGAGACATAAAGATACAATGCATCTACTAATATCAAGAAGAAAATAATTTGTATTCTGCTAATTCACATAAACCACTATGAAGAGCTGGTCTCACAAAAAGTAATATGAAAGACAAAAGTAATATATTAGGTCTTTTGTATTCTTTATATTAGTTTTTTATTTATGAATAAAGCCACAATGCAATGAGAGATGTATGAAGAGACTCCTACTGCCCTGTCTGAAAATATACAGGTAGTCCTTGACTTATAACTACAACTGAGCCCAAAGTTTCTGTTGCTAAGCAAGGCAGTTTTTAAGTGAACCATGTCCCATGACCTTTTAGCCATAGTTAATTGAATCACTGTGGTTGTTAAATGAATCATAAAGTTGTTAAGTGAATCTGGCATCCCCTATTGATTTTGCTTGTCAGAAGTTCCCTACAAATTGTTGCAATCATAATCCCCAAGACTCTTGTATACTACAACTATTGTAAATACATGTTGGATGCCAAGCACCAGAAGCTTCATCATGTGAAGTTGCAATGGTCATAAATGTAAGAACTGATTACATCACTTTTTTCACTGTTGTTTTAACACTGAATGGTTATTAAACGAATAGTTGTATGCCTAGATGTATATTACAACAATCAAGATGAAGTCAAAGAAATCAGGATAGTCTACTAAGACAATGTGCACCACCACAGATTTCACAATGGAAAGCAAGTGAGACATGGAAACAATATTACTTTATTATGGTTTCTTAAAAATCTGTCACAAGAAGAAATCAGTCCTCCTTACAAAAGATCTCAGTATAACATAAAATGGAATGCTATTTAAATCCTGGCCTAAAATCAATGATATAAGGTTATCTATGCACCTTTTGAATTTTAGAAAATGTTCACCCACAACTCTTTTAGTGCAAAAAAGAAGCCACGTCTTTAGCCTTCTCCTGCATCCATTCTCTTAGACGGACGTGAAGCCATTCTACACGTCTCGTGAAGCTCCTTAGCCCCTAAGCAAAGCAGCACTTGGGCCACTCGACGTGCAAATATATGGGGTGATACCTTCCAACCAATGGCGGAACAAAGTACTCCAGATCATCGGGGGAAGCGGGTAGCTGAGAACCCTTGCCTCGCCCTACAAGACCGCTCTTTTGTCCTCACCTCCGCCTTTGTCCGCTGCCATTGATGCAGCGAGAACCGATCTATCAATACCTTTGCAGATATTGATATAGATACAGACAAGACTCCCGGCAGCCGCGGTCTCCACCGGTACCTCAACAGCCCAGCCTCAGAAACGTCGGCTTGAGAAAACAGAGGTATAGAGGAAGCAAAAACACACACATCAGTGCGGACTCCCTCACCTTCCGATGGGATTCTACTTTTGTTTCCGGGTTAAGTGACAGGAAAAGGAACCGCTAGTCCCAAGCATCCTCTCGCTGCCCTCAGCCCAGAGACGTCACGCAAGGGGAGGATAGAATTCTTCTGCGGCTAAGGGGCGGAGCCAGTACAGGATGGGCAGGACGAAAAGTAAAATATAGTGTTGACTGGGGAGTTCTGGGAGTTGAAGTCCACAGATTTAAAAGTTGCGGCCAATGTTGATGGCTAATGGGTTGCCCCATCCATACTGATGCTATTGTCAGGAATGCGCCTTGGACGTGAGGCTTCGCGATCTCTTGCCCGATGAAATAATCAAGTAATCTCGGATAGAAATCGGTTATTGTCTCCACGTGGTATGGTGATCCTCACGGCTGCTAGCTGCAAATAAAATGCGGTTAGACCATTTGTGGCAGATGAGGCAGTTTATTTAATTTATTTATTTATTTGTTTGTTTATTTATTTATTTATTATTTTTGTCAATTATTTACAAGATAATAGGTATAAGTAAAAACATAGTTATGAATACATGGATACATATAAGAAAAATAAAAAAAATAAAAGAAACAATAGGACAGGGACGGTAGGCACGTTGGTGCGCTTATGCACGCCCCATACAGACCTCTTAGGAAAGGGGTGAGGTCAATAGTTGACAGTCTAAGGTTAAAGTTTTTGGGGTTTGGGGAAGAAACCATAGAGTCAAGTAGAGTATTCCAGACATTGACCACTCTGTTGCTGAAGTCGTATTTCCTGCAATCAAGTTTGTTGCGATTAACCTTGAGTTTGTATCTATTGTTTGCTCCTGTGTTGTTATGGTTGAAGTTGAAGTATTCATTGACAGGTAGGATATTGCAATGTATGATTTTATATACTATACTTAGATCGGACCGAAGGAAGCATAGTTCTAGGTTTTCTAGGTCTAGAATTTGAGTCTGGTGGCATAAGGCAGGGGTCCCCAACCGCCGGTCCGCGGACCGGTACCGGGCCGCGGAACAAGCCTTACCGGGCCGCTGGTTGCTGGGCGCCGCCATCTTTTTTTGGTAAAAAAAGCAATTTTTCGTCAAAAAAGATGGCGGCGCCAGCGCTTCCGGAAGCGCTGGCGCCGCCATTTTTTTTGATGAAAAATCACTTCCGGTGACGTCACCGGAAGTGATTTTTCGTCAAAAAAAGATGGCGGCACCCAGCTGACGCCGGAACCGGGCCGCGGCGCCCAGCTGACGCCGGAACCGGGCCGCGGCGTCGAAAAGGTTGGGGATCCCTGGCATAAGGTATTCTGCAACGAGTAGAGGAGTGGAGAACTCTTCTTGTGAAATATTTCTGGACTTTCACAACTGTGTTAATATCAGATACGTAATGTGGGTTCCAGACTGATGAGCTGTATTCGAGTATTGGTCTAGCAAATGTTTTGTATGCTCTAGTTATTAGTGTAATATTACCAGAGAAAAAGCTACATAAGATTAGGTTAACAACTCTTAACATCTTTTTGGCTATGTAGTTATAGTGGGGTCTAGCATGTAGGTCATTAGAGATGAGTATTCCAAGACAGAGTTTGGATCATCAACAAGGTCTTGACTATTCAGCCTGTATTTTATTTTCTGATTATTATTTTTTTGCCAATATGTAGGACAGAGCATTTATTTGTTGAGATTTGAAGTTGCCGTTTGTTTGACCATTCTGATACATAGTCAAGGTCTTTTTGAAGGGTAGCAGTATTGTCTGTGGTGTTGAATAGCTTTACATAATCAGCGAAGAGAACACAGTTGCTCTTGATATGATCACAGAGGTCATTTATGTAGAGTATGAAAAGAGTTGGTCTTAGAACACTGCCTTGGGGGACACCACTGTTGACAGGTACAGAATTTGATAGGACACTCCCAATTTTGACCATTTGTTGTCTGTTTGACAGGAATGCTTCTATCCAGTTATGCAGGTGTCCAGAGATACCGTAAGATTTTAGTTTTAGGAGTAGTTTGTCGTGTACCACTGAATCAAAGGCTTTACAGAAGTCTATGTCGATTGCGACTATTGCTTTGCCCTTTGTTGAGTTGTGTAGTCCATATGTTTTTGCAGTGTAAGAGTTGCAGATTACATGATAGTTTTTTCCTGAAAGCAAATAGTTTATTAGAGAGTAGGTTGTTTGTTTCTAAGTGGAGGATGATGGATTAGTTAATAATTGATTCCATGACTTTACAGGTGATGCAGCGTAAAGAGATTGGTCTGTAATTTTCAACTAGGCTGGGGTCTACCTTTTTGAAGATGGGGATGACCGTGGCTTGTGACCATAGTTTTGGCAAGGAGCTGGTCCTGAAAGATTTTTCAAAGATTATGCTTAGAGGTTCGGCTATGGCAGTGGGTAGCTTTTTAAAGAAGTAGGCACATATTCCATCCGGTCCAATAGATAGAGATGGTTTTAGATTGCGTAGTGCTTTTTCAACATTGTCTTCTGTAAAATCGATATGTATTAGATCATTGTAGTTGTCTATGGTTCAACTAGGAAATACTGGGCATGATCCATTGCTGTTTACAAATACTGAGCCAAAGAATGTGTTAAAGAGGTTGGCTTTAATGGTGTCATCATTGCAGTCTTTACCATTAGGTCCTTTCAGGGGTGGGATGGACCTTGAGTCTTTTAGTTTGTTGTTTACAAAATTGTAGAAAGCGCGGGTGGAATTGGTGCGTAGAAGGTTTTCATGGCTATCAATTGCAATGGCTATACATTAACACTGTATATTAGTATGTCCTGCAGTAGTTCACTTAGACAACATGCTTAAAGAAGATATAATGCACTTGCATTATAAGTGATTTTATAAGCTTCCTGTGGCTTAGTGTCCTCTATGAATCCAGCCCACCATATGATTTGGTGCAGTGTCAATCCAGAAAGTTGGTCAGTTCAAACTTAAATATGCTCTGTGACACAGCCGGTACCAGTTAGAATGGAATCTGATCAGGTAGTCCACAACTTACAGTTCATTTAGTGACCATTCAAAGTTATAATGGCACTGAAAAAAGTGACTTATGACCATTTTTCACTTATGACCCTTGCAGCATCCCCATCATATGATCAATTCAAATGCTTCACAATTTGTTCATATTTATGACATTTATTGCATTGTCCTGGAGTCATGTGATCAGCTTTTGTGACTTTCTGACAAGCAAAGTCAATGGGGAAGCCAGATTCACTTAACCATATTACTAACTTAACAAATGCAATGATTCAACCGAGCAGATGGCCCCACCCACCATATCTCACCCCTCCCAGGAGTCTCCACATGATGCAGATAAGTACAGGAGGGGGAAAAACGGCCCTTCCGGAAGTCTGAAAATGGGCCTGTTTCCAGCTTCCAGGGACCTCCAGAGCCCAGGGGAGGCCATTTTCGCCTCCTAAAGGCCGGGGGTGGCCTCCAAACCCTTGGGAGGGTGAAAAACACCCCTTCCAGAAGTACCGGAACTCATGAAACAGGCCTGTTTTCAGCTTCTGGTGGGCCTCCTGAGCCTAGGGGCTGTTTTCGCCCTCCCAGAGCCCGGGGGAAGCCTCCAGACCCCTGGGAGGGCAAAAACAGCCTCCCCTGGGCTCTGGAGGCCCACTGGAAATTAGAAACAGGAAGCTCCAGTAGGCCATGCCCACCATGCCCATGCCCACCAAGCAACCGGGCAGTGAACCAGTTGCTGGGCTTTTTGAATCCTACCCTGGCTAGAGGGCCATGAATTAAGACTTGGATGGCACAGGTATTTATGCTATGTAAGATTAAAGACCTACATACCTGTACCCGTGAAAATCTACGAAAACAAATATATATATATATTGTTTTTGCTATGTTTTTAGAATTTTTTCTTTTACATTTTCAAGGGGAAGTACAAAGCAGAGTCTGAATGATGAGATTTACATGATATAAAATAGATATTAGAAATTTGAATATTACAATTTTAGAATGCACAAATTTAATGTTTAATGAGATTTCATTAAATTGGCCTTGTGTTTCTGCGCAGCCTGGATTAATTGCTTGGGGGGTGCTCTGGGGGTGAGATTTCTCTGCGGCCCACCAAAATTTTATCACGGTCCACTGGTGGGCCGTGGCTCACCAGTGGGCCGTAGCTCACCAGTTGGCCGCCGCTGCCCTATATCACCAGACTTGAGATTTTGGGCTTGGACAACCTTGAACTTCGCTGCCTACGATTGGACTTAAGCATAGTACACAAAATTATCTGCTACAATGTCCTACCAGTCAATGACTACTTCAGCTTCAACCACAACAACACAAGAGCACACAATAGATACAAACTCAATGTAAACAGCTCCAAACTTGATTGAAGAAAGTACGACTTCAGCAACGGAGTGGTCAATGCCTGGAATCCACTACCTGACTCTGTTGTTACATCCTCTAACCCCCACGCCTTTAACCTCAAACTATCCACTATTGACCTCACCCCATTCCTAAGAGGTCTGTAAGGGGCGTGCATAAGTGCACATCGTGCCTACCATCCCTGTCCTTTTGTCCCCATTTATTCGTACCTATTTCCTGTATTCTTACTCATGTTTATAATTATACCTATTATCCTGTAAGCAATTGACAAATAAAAATAAATAAATAAATAAAAAGAAAAAAGAAAACTTGGAAACAAGGACTCATAGACATTGAAATTGAATATAAAAGATATTGGTTGAAATAAATTATTGGACAATCGGATTGGATATAAAATTATTATTAATATTAAAGAATATTAAATATTAAAGAAGGAAAAGAAGAAATGCACAAAATGAGTGAAATATGTGTGGAAATAAGATCGGAACTACAAAACATGAAGGAAATGATGAAAGAAAGAAGGAAATGTATAGTATTATATTACAAAAATTAGAAATGGCGACACAAACCATGGAAGAACAAAGAGAGCCAGAGGGGCAGGTGTTAAATAAAGAAGAAACTTGCTGAAAAAAGCAAGTGGAACAATGAACATTTAAAGAAGAAGAAAAAATTAAAGCTAAAACTTTAAGGTTTGATGTGATAAACGAAGAGGGAATTGCTTGG